GGCTTTGTGGTATGGTGGATGCGACCAAATCACATTTAAATGATCTATTTTTATCTATTTTGCAGGTTTGATTAAGTGGGGGCGAATATGATTAATCAATCTCATTATATTTAATCGAACTAGAGCGTAATGTGATGAATCGCCGTTTACACACTGTCTATTCTATACAACAGAATAAGTTTGTTTCAATGAGTGTTTATTATTACTTGGTAAATTTAGTAAATATTACATATGAAGAAATGATCTTGAAAATGGGAAGTTGGTGATATGTTAAATTAGAGTTTTGTACAACAGCAATTAAAAGTTTGGTATGCTTTGCAAGAAAGTCCCAAGACCTCTTGGTACAAGCAAGGTTATAGTTCTTTTTGTCTTTCTAATGAAGTATAAAGACTTGCTAATGTTTTTTATAAAGATATAACTTGTTGAAAGTCTACTCACTGATAACTGGTCGCTTAAATTTGGGGATTCAATGATTACATCAACAACTGTGGAAGAGCAATCAATTGTCAGCACTAGGAATTTTTTGAACAGAGTGTGGCTCTACTTGTAGTTAAATAAGAAAGTACACAGTGACCTTTTAACTCAGGTTTCGTAGCCAATGTTGATGAATAGACACTATAATATATAATGTGCTGAATAAAAAGTCGAAACACATGGTATAATTACAGTCAACCCTCCATAAATGAATGCATTTATGGAGAGGCATTTTATTAGTATCACACAACTCAATGAAAGTACTGTAATAGTATCTTTATTTGAGAAAAATTCATCTATCATTGTTTATGGCTTCATTACACTCACAAACTTTAAACTACTGTAATGTTCAAGTACTCTCACATGCTTGTTTTAGAGTCTTGTTAACAAATAAAATTGGGAGGGTACTTTGCATGAAATTATTTGTTTATAATACCCCAGATATTTTAATTGATGATTATTTATTTCTTTGAGAATAGTGCCCAGGTTTTTTACAAAATCAGTCCATTTCCCAGTCAAATGAATATTGTTAGTGAAGAATTATCAGTTAAATGTGAGTGTGAGAACAAGATTAACTGATTGGATAAGAATTCTCAGCAAGAGAATGACCACTTCCAGTATAGGATAGCATTCTTGAACTGCTGCCTTTTTAGACAATAGAATACTATGACATTGGGAGCCATATCCTGACCGTAACAATGGATAATGCCTCTAATATGATTGTTTTTGGCTCAGAATTGGCCAAAGTGTTGTGTGATGCTACGCTATAAGCGGTGAAGTATTCTCTCCTTTATTTCTGCGTTCTATAGTTCCTCCGACGGTGCCGCAGCACAAATCGATCAGCGCACAGCTGCGGATTTCAAGAATAGTATTAAAACAAATTACTAGATAGGTGGTACAGTCACTGTCGGGAGTACAATCACTGTTGCAGTGACTAGCACTAGTAGTACAAGCAGTGATAGATGCTCGAAGATATATAAGTAGCGTATATTTCAGTTAGATAAAAAAAGTCAATAAAGTGCATGTTTAGCATGACTAATTACTCTCAATTCCTTTATTGTAAATAAGTGAGTAGTTCTTTATACTCTGAAATACATTGTTAATGACTCATTCCCTGGTAACTTATCGGTATAGCTGAGAAACCGTTAATCCCTATATTGATGAAGAATAATCGCCTCTTGTCCCGCGATTATTCGAGTGGCAAATTATGATAATTAATTGTTATGTAGATGCATACTCATTGTACCCCAGACGGGAGAGCGATTACTTATTGTCATTCTATGGTGAAAAAGTCACTAACTGTACTCTAGACATTTAACTTGAATAGGAGGCGCCACGCTCTGTCGAGACTAGTCAAATCCCAAGTGTCATTACTTTCTGCTCTCCCGCAGTAGTCGGCACGACAGTTGGCAGAAAAATATAGCAACTATGAATTCACACATCTTCATTGTGCAGCATGAGTAAAATACCCCTCAGCAATTTTGAGGCCCTGGTAGAAAGGAATGATATCATTGAAGAAGACTTAGAGCTGTCATATGGAGATGACACAGCAGCCTTTATGTCATCTGCTGCTACTTCTGTCTCAAGAAACATGTGTGGAATAAGTGAAACAGGAAATGTAGTGCAATCAAAAAGAGACATTGAAACTGGATTTGCTCAAAGACCATTTTAATTTTGAAAAAATTACAAAAATGTACATAATGAACTTTACATCCAGACAGCATTACCTTGATGTGGTCAAACTATATGGGGAGACCAAGAAAAACACCATGAATCTCATTCAATGGATTATAACTGATCAGCAACTGCTCAATGTAGTAAAAGACAGTAATTTTAATTTTCTCTTGATAAGTGCTACTACTACTACTGGCTTCCATCACAATCATGCCAATTTGTTGCAGAAACTACATTGAGCAACACAAAAAACTATTCATAAACCACTTAATTGCATTACCCCAAACACTTGTACTCACAATGGACACTTGGAGTAGTAGTAGTAGTAGTTGCACAAACCTTAGCTAACTTTCTGTAACTCCATTGGATTGATGATAATTGGAAGATGCAATGCATATTGTTAGATTTAATATTATTCTGCTTCATGAATTAGAATGGCATATAGGGAAAAATCTTACCATACTAATACAGTTATTTTGCTATAACAATAATTTAGCAGGAGTAATTCAAGTGGGTTTCAATATAATGACACTATTAATGACAGATTGATAGAAACTCTTATTGGATAAGTTCTAATACAGGATATCCAAGCAATACACATCTGTTCTAATAATTTAGCTATCTTTGTAACTGTCCTTTATGCTCAATTTTTTAAAATTATATATTTTAATTCTATCATATTATAAATGTTAATTTTATTCCCCTTGTGATGATACTTATAAAAGTGTGGAGGATTGTATTGGTGATTTGGTACTTGGCCATAAAACCAGTTTGATCTGGATGTATGAAGGTTAATGCCTTGGAGTTGTTTAGCAAGGATTGTTAAAAGGGGAACCAGTTTATTGAGAGATGTTAGTATTGTCTTGAGTACTGCTGTTTGAGAAAGGGAGTGTATGATTTTGAGAGCTTTGTGGGAGATTTTACATTACATATGGCCTTTTCCCAAGATGCAATGTGTTGGCTTGGGGTCTAGTATTAGTATTAGTATTTGTGTCTGTATTTTCAGGGATCCCTTCTTATTCTGCCAGGAAAGGGCTATCTTTGTCATAGTAATAGTCAGACATTTGGATGTCTTCTAATCAGTTGATGGGGGCTCCAACCATCTTGCTGAACTTCCTGAGGTGGGTGGACATATGTTGTGCTGACTCAGCAGAGTCTGTGGGGTAGCAGAACAGGGGTAGGTTGTGCCACTGCCTTTGCATATGTTTCTTGTTGTTTGGCTGTATCTGTATTGGTGCTGTTGTCTGTCCTTGGGGGTGGGGCTGTGATGGGACAATTAATAAGACTCAATCCTATGGGACCTTTACCCATTTTGGACAGTCTTTTCTTAGATGTCCAGTTTCACATTGGATGCAGTTGGGGAACCTGGCCAAGATACAAGGACATTTTGTTTCATAATTTTGGGATTGTAATAAATAGTAAGTGGGGGTGAGGAGCTTATCCTGAGGGGGCAGACACAATGGCCACCCACCTAGACATGACAAGTTTAGTGCCTTTAATGGTGATAGGGGCTTGATTTCTTCAACTACACATTGTTCCAATACTTTGACAAATATAGGTCTGATTGTGGCTGCTGCTCTAACAGAGACATTCATGAGTCAGATAATAATAAGGGTTTTTTCTGGTCCTAATTAGTATTAGGGAGTAAACTTCATCCAATCAAGGTTCAATGATTCATATTAATTTTGTTCAGTGCACCAGTGGTGTACCATATATAGCCAAGTGAGCTCTAAGATGCATGTATTAATATTAATACATAAATATTGATCAGTGCATGCACTTAATGCATTTAGAAAAAAATTGTTTACATGGATGAGGACTGAAAATCATTGCACATGCACATTGCAGGATATAGTGCGGTCGGTGTATTATTAGGGTGGGAGAGCCATTAATAAATTAGGTAAGTGTGTTCACCGACAGGGGGATGTTACCAATTTAACTCAGATCGCTACCCTTACTAATAGCGATTGTCGATTACAAATTTATAAGTGACTTATTTTGTTTGCGCTTTTTCTAACTCCCTAAACGGATTAAAACCTATTACTCGTCTCTAAGTAAGGGTTACTTATAGCAATATCGTAACAACAACAATAATGCTACAGAATCGAAGGGGAATTTGATTTAATTTATAACAGGGCGTTCTTTGATTTAGTATTTCGACTAGTCGGGGTATCTCGTCACTTCTAATTAATCTTAACTAATTAAACGATAAAACGGGAGATCAATGTCGAATATTAATTATGACTCGCTTGCACTCTTATAAGATGGTCTTGCTCAACGTGATAAAAACTTGGTTTCATAATCGCTTTGCATCCAACTCACTCTATCAAACTTTCCAAATACACGTAGATTGTAACATGGGCTGATAACGTATACCCTTACATCATCGTTACGTTGGATTTATGTCCAGGGGATTGTGCTTTGGTAGATTATACGTGTATTCCTTTAAATGTCTTCTTTCTCTATCTCTTAATTTCTTTTTTGCTGTATCCTATCTAATTTTCAATTAAAATTTTATTAGCCGCGATGAAGTTGTATAACATAGTGGTAACACATTTCATCAATCGCCTTAATTATCATAAACTATTTTGGCGACTGTAGAGCTATATTGGATTCGATATCGATATTATCTAAAGCTGTTTCATGATGAATACTTATGCAGCGAGTCTTTTATTGTGTAATGTGATAAGCTTATAGATCAAGTTGGATGGTATACATTGACATACTATGAATTACTTAACGTACAAATTAACCAATTTTTTGCTATCAGTAGATATAAATTGTAACATACACGTAAAGATACTATACAACAGCCTTACAAATAAACGGGGTTGACATTACAATGGATCAATCAATGAACCTCCTCCAATAATATTATAATGCTGTCGTACACATATTATGACACGCTTAAAACAAACATTGTAAAATGTGTTGTGCACAGATAAAAAGCGTGCTGTGCACATTCAATTTTGTTGCACACGTTCAATTCGTTCCATAATATTGAGAACAAAATGTGCTGTAAAATTATCACTTGTCAATAGGTCTACGGTTAAAATATAAATAAATGCAATTTACTTGAACGTCATCTGCTTACAATATTTGTATTAGCTATTCTAGTAATTATCATATCGTCGAAATAATGCCTGCTATCGTAAAAATTCCTGAAACTGGTCAAGAATATAACGCTATAGCCATTTATCTACGATCAAAACACTTTCTCCCCCGAAATCAAAAATATTTCACACGAAAGTCAAATTTCATTCGGCGATGCAAAAAATTTGAACTTGATAATGACAAAATTCTTTCACTGACAAGTGTGAAAGGCGTCGGGTGCTTACCAAAATTTACGTAACCTAATACTAAGTCTACGGTCAATCTAAACTAGCACGAATACCATAAAAACATATTGGTATTGCACAAGATGAAGTTCGGGCAGGGCATATGTTAACAACTATGAAGCATGCGCAATTAATACATTAATTAAAGAAAAAACCGATATGACTCCAGTTGTGTCTGCGGAGCCATGGACCCATTTACAAAAAGAATCCTTAAAGAGGATGTCATCTTCGTCTGACGACCATTTGCCCTTCCTAACTCGGCTTTCGAACCACATCGCTTGACACTGAATACCAGTCCGATGAGGAATTCGAGTTGTCAGCAGCTTGAGGATTGTCTGCTGCTACGAATGCACCCATAGACCCGGAATAAAGTTGTAATGCTCGCACATTTTTAGAGAATCCCATGTTGCCGCGGTATTCTGAAAAGGAATTATCTCCTGAATTACGTCCAACCGAACAATGTAAAAACACTGGAGACAGAAACCGTCGCTGCATTAATGATATTGATAAAATTTGTTGAGGAATAAGATGTAAGTGAGGACAGAATATCATTTGCCTATTCAATTTGCATTTGCTGCATAATGATATTAGTGTACTAGAATGTTGGATATCCAGGTAATATTCTTCAATGGGATAGCTTGTATTACTATCATAAGGTTTCCATTGCGCTTTTGCGGGGTACATGAGTTTCCCACAATATGCACATGTTATACATGGATGTTGATATAAAATTGAATTGACAAACCGTGTATGTGTAGTTTGCGCGCGGACGAGCAGCCATTGTGGTATTTGATAATGGTCTGAGACTAATATTAGAAAGTGCAATATGCATTGAATTTGACTATTTCTGGAATACTCAAATTTGAAGATTGTTGTTGATCAAACGTGTATGTATGAAAGCTATGTAACATTAGAGCAGTAGATATGATGTAGAAAACAAAGTTTACTGATACGGGTCGTTTTTATATCTATTGAAGAAAAAATAATGACGTAGCGTTTATCTCACTAATTTTGATATTAATATATAACTAGAAATTTGTAATTGGGCTGCGCCCCCTTTAATTTATTTAAGTGGATGTATTCTATCTAGTATGAAGTACATGCAGTAAGAAAGAATTTGTTCTAGTTGTCATCTACGGGGCAGGTTTAATTTAGATGATGCTAGGTCAGAGATTTTTTTGGTTTTATTGTTGGTTTTGGTAGGTTGATGATTAATTGATTGGTAGTTTGAGTAATTGGTATTTCTTTTGGAGAAGTTTGGGTTACCATTGTAGAAGATGTTGATGAAGTTGTATGTTCAAGTTCTTGTTGGTACAGACAAAACCCTCTAAGTGCACACCCTCTAAATGCACACCCCCTATTTTGTTACCTAAAATAATTTACTGACATAGTTAATAAATTATAAATAGTCTTACTAAATTCATTCTTTACATTGCGCCATACTCCCATGCCCCGAGTGATAATCAAATATCGTACTGTACGAGTAAATTTTATAATATGTACTTTTTTGAGATAATTTCGTAGGGGTTTACATATCGTAGTGTTACAAACATAGAGGAAGCCCCGCATTGAATTTAAAATAAAAGTTTTTTTACCGATCATTTTATAATAGTAAGACAGACTATTACGGCTTTTTTGAAAGGAAAAAAGGCGGCGCATGTTTTAACGCCTATTTATTACCAATAACCCGTTTTTTGTTTACATTACAAACGATTAAAAAACCGGATTTAAAAATTCTATTAAGCAAATGTCAATAAAACTAAAAGCAACTGTATAGTTTGTTGATTGTGAATGGATCAAGCGTATCAGTTTTAATTTCATTTGGCCTACCTGCTCTCTATCAGAAGAAGAAAACCATCGTATTTTTATTAATAGACAAATGATCACAATTAAAGCGGTTATTACTTATTTAAGTCTTAGCCAATTTCATTAATATTAACCGATATCAAGAAAGTAAGTAGTGCGGCGGGCGCTACTTTAATTCTGTGTTAATTTTTACTTGACACAAATTATATTATTTTCATTTTATCTAAAATAATAATGGCGTTGTTTTCAGAAGAGTCTTCTACAGGATGGAGAACTTTATAACCGTAAAAGGTGAAGATTTTCGCTAATGCTAAGTTGGTAATTATAAATCCGAAGGTACTACAGAATCAAAAGCATATCATTGTTACAGGTTTGAAAGTCATCATGTCAGGGTACACTCCCTAAAATAAGTACGGACCCCCTTTAATTTTAGTTTACAGAATATACCAAACTTTTTTGCATTCTTTCAACTAAATTCATACAGTATGTGCAGAGTTAATAAGCGGAATAAATGGTCTAATTAATAGTTTCATGTGTGTGGAAAAAATTGGTATATCATTTATTAATACGTGTTGTGGGCTCTTGTAAAAGAGAATACGATGGACCATTGGCAGCAGCAAAATCCATAATAGTCAGATAAACAAACGTTATTGATTATTCTCTGTGTCATGACATAAGCTCGATTATAGCGATAAACCGCAGAATTTGACATTTGATTTTTAAAAAAATGCGATCCAATTTCATGTGACATAAAACCGAAATAAGAACTATATATTTTTGGAGTATAATACAAATTACAGAACTGCAGGTATATAGTATGCATATAAATATTTAGAAAGATTGCGGGGGAATGCTTAATTTCGAGCGAGTGATTATTCAAAGGTTGCGATTGAAGACGCTTACGAACGTTCTCCCACGTGTATCGATCCAACAATATTATTGGTTTGTCAGATGATCAATTAAATGTATTACAACAGACATGCACACCCATCGGGCCGAAGTTGGTGCACTTACGGAATTGTAACACATGTTCACGTGGTGGTACTAATAATATTAGCACTCTTCGCTTCCTTTGCAAAATATTGATATATATATTATTGTTTCATTACATTAACCTTCCTTTCTCTAACACAGCTCTCTAGAATATTGGTGGACTGTCCAACAACATGTACTTTATAGTAATGCTTGAATCCAGTCCGATCTTTGAATTGAATTGAAATATGGCCTGATTAAAAGGCAGTTATCGCTTGCATGAAACTAGTCTGATTAAATCAAATCGCTTAATAAAATTTATATAGCTTGATTAATAGCCTGATATCAAGACGTACGGTCCAATAATTTTCTATTAATTTAAACGTTCGGCAATAGTGACGATTTACTGATAGATTGTGACTGCTTTGAATCGAACTACCAATTATAATTTACTTGATGTATGACAATACAATGTCATATAGCCGTCAAAATCCATTGCACGTGCAAAATAGAGTGTGCATTTAGGGAAAGTCGACTGCATACTTAAGACATAAATCAATATTTTAGCAATAGCTATCAACCATTTAGATTTTAGAGTAGCTATCCGCTCCAGCGGAATAATGGAATAACTCTTATGGTGGAAAAATACTCATAAGATCGAATAAATACGATGAAAACAACTAATAAACCTACGATTGAAAATATTTAACCGGCATTCGCCATGCTATGATCTCTAAAATAGTAGATTCTTAAGTTGTGTTATATAGTGTGGGTATGTAACTATGCTTTGGAAAAAGTATTAGTTATATTGCATGAGCCATAATCACATATAGGGAGACAATTGTCAAAGTGAACATTTTAATTTTACCAATTCATGCCAGCAACCAAGAGGTAAATGGTTGGATTGCACATTATTCTTCCAATTTTGTTTGTGATTGAGGACTTTTTCAATTTAGAGGCTGATGCAAAACCATCTAATTTACCAGAATGAACCTCAAATGTCTCTTGAAATGTTATTCAAACATGCATTGAATATTCCTCTTATGTGATACAAACTTGGCCCTAGTAAAAAAAGTGGAGACATTCTGGGGGGTAGAAAAAAATCAGGAAAAAGATTCACAAATCTTGGAATAATTTCTGAATGGTGACATTGTTCTATGTAATCAGGGAGTGGACTGAATCAAGTTTTCTAATCCTTATACAAAATATTGGAAAAAACTAAACCTTGATGGTATCAATTTGTATGTACTGGGAATGCAATAAAATGCATCTTGCACCTCTAATCTTAATATCTATCCCTATCATAATATCAATTCCAAGTATAAGTAGGCTTCATGTTGTTGATTTTGTTTGCATCTGTGATTTTTTTAATAATTCATCAAGTAGCATATTATTGCAAGTCTGTTCATTGGATAATTTTGTCCACAAATGCACTGCATAAGACTACAGCAGAGTATTCCACATGCAGAGCAAAATCTATATTGATAACAAAATAATGAAAGTGTTTACTGGCAACAATCAATAGTTATCTTGATGCTTGGTAAAGCCATATATCATGTTGCAACAAGTAAGCCATTGGGAAATTTCAGCAATTCTACTCGCAATTGTTAGCCTACATACTTTTTCACCTCCAGTAAGTAATAACATCGTCATTATTTGCAAGCGGCGTAATAGATAGCATCTGTTGTGTTGGACTTGCTTAACTCCATTTAAGTCTGTTATCATTTATTAACAATGATGACACAGATCTACTAGTATTTCTTCTAAATTAGGAAAGCTTATACTCCATTACAGCATTAAGATCAGCATTCATCAGCAGGGGGCATTTCTGTACAACTGCGTGCGTTGTATTCTGTAACAGATGTATCAAGAAGCGTGAAACAAGGAGGGGCTCTATATCCTTGCAGGCATTTGTTTATAGTACACGTAGTGAGCTTTTGAACGATTAAATCATTGGAGATTGATTGTTTGCTTGAAAGCAAGGGTCTATTTACTGCATAATCAAAAAATCGCTAGGCACGAATTAAATGATGCAACTATGTATGGGAGATTATATCACATCGCATACTTGGGACGCGTTTGCATTTTAAAGCAGAGCGGAGCTAAACTATCAAATACTCGGGTGATACGACATCCCATTTCCATTGAACGAGCTTCATACAGAGTGATGTTAGGATGTTGGGCGAAATTGGATTGATATTCGGTTTTGGACATTGAATATGGAGTTAATCCTAGAGCAAAGTGAGTATTAGAGTTATATGCACGGGGCGGGTTGGAGAAAGTTTAATTTAATTAATAATCGGATGTACTTTGCTTTGGATATCACTTCAAATTGAGATTATATATTTTTTTAATAGACACTTCAAGTGTTTGAAAACAAGTCATTTATTTGCGTTGCTTCCATTGAGTTAGTGAAAGCGGCTTTACATTGGAAAGGTGTCACGTCATTAGAAGATTAGAATTCGGTGAGGAATGTTAGTCTATCACATATCATTGCTACACACAGTCACGTGTGACCAATAAAATGCTAACCCTATAACCCCTCTCTCTAGTATATAAGAAATGTTCGCCGAGTATACCATTCCGGAATAACTATTTTCAGGGCATAGTAATAGAAACAATAGAAACTGAGCTTGCTATATAACACGGGAAAGTGTTCATGTCTTGGCAGTCGACCGTTACACATGCATACAGTGAAATAGGGTAGGGTACTAAACGAGATCTATAGGAAAACAAGTTTCAGAACGACATTGCCCGAGTCACCAAATAGTATATAACATGGCCTACATCAAATTTTTTCCCCTAACTCAACATGACAACCTACCAAAAATCATTACCTACTGAAAAAGCGGTCTCCATCGTCACCTTTCCGCCGCCAACACATGAGAAGGAGTCAACTAAGAATAAAACTTCTTCACTAGCCGTGGAAGAGAATGATAATGCTGCTCTGGAAACGGGGAAAGCAAGTGGCGATAATCATAGCAGAGATGCAGGCCATGTCTCGCTATGTGTCCGCATAAGTGTTTATTCGGTTCTTATTTTTAATGCTATACTAATGGCAGCCATAATAATAATATTGGGTATACTGGTAAAAGTGAGTATATGTATAATAGACCAGTCAGTGACGAACATTGGTATCAACTGTTAATGTCAATATCAAGATTGACGCTTCTAACACGTTTCATCAATTTAGGTCATGAAAATGCGTGCGGCTCTTATTTCTTGGTTTATAATAGAGTCTGCGTTTCGTCTATCGGCCATATTTATTACAGCCAGAAAATCTTCCGCAAGTTATGCAATAACCCATTCGCTGGGAATATTCCTAGGTAACATTATTGTCAGCGATATAATGTGGCTAAAGTAACAGTTCAAAACTTGGTTAAATCTGTATTTATAATCATATTCGTATTTGCAAACAGGAAAAGAATATTACATCACCTTGGTCAATTCACTATGGCCTTATTCCGACCCATTTGATGCGATTGTGAATCGACCGGGCATTAGGATCGATCTCGTATGGATAAAGCAAGGCTTCTGTTATATACTTTATAGTCTCTTAGCTGGCATCACGCTTTGGGTAGTGACCTGGAGAGAGTCCTCTCATTCAAAGGATTACAAGATGTGGTTAGCTACAGCTGGTCTCGTTGCATCTCTGATTAATATTGTCAATTATTTTATTGGCATCGCCTTTGCAACAAGCAAGAGAGTGGTCGGCGGGCGGTCTTAATTAATTTATCGATTAGTAGACAATAAACTCGGCGTTTGGAAACTGTAGATATACGCTAATTTGCGAACGAGAAAGTTATACAAATGCAGAAATATCAAAGCTCATTAAGGCATCGACGTTGAATACTGGCCGAAAAGAAAAAAGAATCTGCCGCAACACGATCAATTGTCCACAATATTGGACATTGTGAAGAATCGTTAGCGTAAAGATGCAGATAACGGAATGCTCAATTATCGCTCAATACCTAAACTAATTAACTAATGGTTTCATGCTTCGTAAACTTTATTCAGAATAACGCGACTTGTAAAAACAATAAAGTTGTATATAACTTTTTGCAGAGATTGAATGTTTAATGCTCACTGAATTGACAAACTCAAGAATCTCATACTTTATTAAAGAACGTTAATGTAGTAATATACATGCATTGGCCGCCGCAAACAATAATTTTCCCGATACAATGATGGCAGGATACTGAGGACCGTTAAGAACTTCCATAAGATTTATCCTGATACCCATAATCGATTATTTATCCGCCTCTTGTCTCGAATTAATGTTCTGATCGCAATTCGAGAAGGCACATTGTCTAAACATCACACGAACAAGCGACATCTAAACAACATTGTTAGATGATTTCCAATTTCAGTCAAGGACAACCAATAATTTTTTGACAAGTCTTACACAGAACGGATAATTTTAATTAAGGTAATTCAATTTACTATGAAGGTCACACAACATAATTCCTTAATGTTCAACGAAATGAAACCATTTAAAGCGATATTTAAAACGTATAGTACAGTAGTCGCATTAATTCAAGTAATTACCGGGCGGGTGTACTATCAAACTGTGGAAGACATTACGCACATATCTTAACAGTAGACTTTCTTACGGCAATATCGCCAAGCGGGATGAGGAATTGGATATATTAATAATGGGAACAATCCCGTCCATGTAATGAACTTCATACCTGAACAGCTGACCACATGCCAATATCCATATTAATATCAAATGCAAGAACATGCATTGCTGATCTGAACATCTTGAAAGGATCAGCGACGGGATGGCTGAAACAAACAAAGATTTGTGTAATGACCATCAAACTTCAACTCAAATCTCAACCCAATCTAGCCATCTCAATAAGAGGGACATGGGACAATGGGACAATGGACAATGGGGCAATGGGGCAATGTATGTATTCGTTATAGATGAGTAATCATGATTACAAGTTATCTTGCAGAATGTATGGTTCCCGTTTGTCCTTATTCGCGTTTTACGGCCATTAAACGATTGCCATCAAACGTTTGCCATCAAACGTTTGCATTGTTATTATATTTACCAGCAGGATCTTGAAGCTTACTGGTACAAAAAATAGACCAAACAAGACAAATGGAGAAGAGAAGCAGTGGGCATCTTTGCTTTTCGTGGGAATAGTTTAGGGAAACTAGATTATTAATTCGGGATTCTTAAAGAGATTGCAAAGTGCTAAAAAGTCGGTCGATTCAAGGAATCAATACTTGCAGAGATCTAAGGTTAGTCAAGTCAACGGCTATTATTATGGGATCGTATGCTATCACCTCGTTCTGTGGCCTTTTGGGTGGGTCTAATTAAGTACAAGGGCTTTTACTTTAAAGATCCGTATGAGTTTGTTGATATTGACAACGAAATCACTTAAGCAGTATCATACTCATGTGCTACAGACGTCTCATGGACCGCAGGTATAAGGAAAAATGTAAATACAATCTTATTTCTATTAATTTGTCTTTTTTAACCCATAATCGTCCGATTCATTCTCCTTGAACTCACCTACGCCCAGTCATCCGTTGGTGTGACAATTAGGCATAAAGCCAACATATTTACCTTGGAGTCACCAACGTACAAGATGAAATTCCAAAAGCTTGCATGCTGGAAGAAGGATAGAACTTCGATGTAATTGTCAAACTGAGGATTTGGATATTGGACTGGGTGCTGGTGAGAATTTGCCAGAACTTGGTGATGGTTATGAAAAACATTAGCGAATATTCATGAAAGTACTTTTTTTTTATCCTTCTTCATAGGACTTTTCAAAGACTAACCCTAACCCAATCGCTTGGATAAGTTTATCGGACTCCATTTCATTCTGCAATTTAAGCTCTGAATAACGTCATTCATGATAATCAGATCTTTGAAGACATCATCATCGAGTATACGCCCAATGACTCTGAATTATTTACATTACACCAACTGCGTGCGTCGGCGATAATTCTACTACCGCATAAAGTTTAAGCACCCTATTCTGAATTAGTCACGGCTTAGTATGTAGGATTTTTTTCGAAAATTACGCGAGTTATCGCCAATAAAAATTTGTTACCAATTTTCTACGTTAGCTTGAATACATTTACAAACTGTCGCGCAATATATCGATATTCGCTATAGCTTTTTAGGAAAACGAAGCCTCATTATAAGGAAAGCCGACCATAGGTGGTTATGTATCAAGCGATATAATTATGGATGCTAACAAATCTACTAAACTAGTTTTTTATTTTATTTTTTTCATTTTTTTTCATTGGATTTAAGCCATGATTGTTAGAAGGCAGTCTATAACTTCAAGCATGCATGTTATCCCGAAGAAAATTTTACGAGCGGGCTAGTATGTGTTGGGACATTGTTTTGTTGAAACCACTATTCGTTCCCTAACAAGTCTTTAATGTCTGGAAATGTCTCCGGGTATGTACATAAAATGCTACATCCATCATTTCGGAAAAATTGTTTTACCCTTATGCTTTATTCGATCCTTTGGCATAAGTTAGGGTTAAGGTTGATGGTTCCAGATTGCTTGAGTTTTTTAATCTATAATAAACCGCACTGATGGGAATACCCTTGCGCTTATGAATCTCCACACCATTCTAATGCCTTGGAGTTTTGCGTTCTTTGTTTGTTTACACCTACGATTCATTCTAATGCCTTGGCCCTACAACTGCTGTGATAATGTAGTCGTTCTAACTGAGGAATATTATTAGTGAAAAATATCTATAAACAAGCGGTTCAAAATATAATGCGTTCATCGAGCCAATCGAATTTGGCAATGCATAGCAAAAAAGGGTAATACCATCTAACCATCTGGATCGTCTCTCTCCCTTCGATGGCTCGATACCATATTTGGTAAAAGTCACCTTTTAAGAATATGTGATTAAGGATAAACTTTGTCTGATTGGCAAATATGATTTGTGCTACCAAATGTGATTTTTTGTCATGTAGCTGATGAGCGCACTATCTAGCCAATGATAAACTGATCTCAAAAATGGACTGGCTCGATGAACTGGTGAGAGCGCTCATAAATTCGCTTAGACACATATCGACTCGATATTGACAAATTCGATAGTGATTTCGGCGGATATACATATTTGATATTAGCACCTAAAAATATGCTGTCCCACACCAGTACATTGTCGCACAACCGCTGGGTTAAACTTGTGGGGCGGATTCTATGACTTTCTGCCTCTTGTCAATAATTCACTAAAAATATGTCTGAGGTTCAATCGTCTAACAATATTCAAAAAGCTGCCGAGCTGTATCAAAGGGCAGCTGAACAAGGATATGCTGCAGCACAATGTAATCTTGGTGCTTGTTATCAAAATGGGACAGGAGTGGAAAAGAATATTCAAAAAGCTGCTGAGCTGTATCAAAAGGCAGCTGAACAAGGATATGCTGCAGCACAATGTAATCTTGGTGCTTTTTATCAGAATGGGACAGGAGTGGAAAAGAATATTCAAAAAGCTGCTGAGCTGTATCAAAAGGCAGCTGAACAAGGATATGCTGC